CGTTGATAGGTACTTGCTGCGAAGATATAGATAAAAACTAAAATGCATAGGTATTTCCAAAATTAAGTCACATTATGTCAGTGGCGGCCAGTGGCAACCTAGTGTGGTTGTGCGCTCTTGGAAATTTTTTTGGAGGTGCCACGTCCTGTTTTACATTTATTTTGTATGTTGATTTTTTTTCTTTTTACTTTAGGAAAAATTATCGAAAACAAAAATATATGTATTTAAATGAGGCTTGAATGTTTGTATTCTAGCCATAATACATAATTGATACTGAAATTTATAATTAAAAAAAAAACCTCGAACAACAGAGTTGTCAAACCGCCAAAATGGTGAAAAAACATCGAAATATTCTCGATTGAGTGGAAACAACATTGGAAGTGTGTATGCATCCCTTTCATCGGGCGACTTACCGTATATTCCCGATCAATCGCACAGCGAGAAAACACATTTACCCAGTGCGCCGAACGATTCCACACCGACCACCCGGACCACCAGCACAACCAAGCGGGAGAAAAAAATATACAAGACAGGCGCAGGGCGCGCTTTCGTTCCGTTCGTGCGAATTTAAAAATAGAAAAATGAGTAGATATTTATCCTAATTTAGAAAATTGGGTAGGTATTTCTTAATTGAAGTTTCTTTTCTTTCCAAAACTTTAATTTTATTTTCTTGCTTGGTTTTTGGAGGCAGTGCCCGCGCACGAGCTCACTTATTGAGAAGCCGCCCCTGCATTATGTATCTAAGGTTTCTTTGTTGTCTAGGGGCATTCATCCAAATATGACGTCTTGTGCATACTTATTATCAAACCTATAAAATGACTTCCTAAAAAGCGGCATTGGATTTCTAGAAGGAAGGCATGTTGGATAAACTGATATTCATATCAGTGAAACAAAAATTAATAATATTAATTAGGTAACGGCCCAATCAAGGACCGATTGAGAAGTGTTTTATCTCTGCAAGACCATCCGTGGACGCGTTTCGCTGTATCACAGCTCATCAGCACGGTTTAGGTGCCGCAGAGAGAAAACACAACCCATTTTTGGTTCCATCCCGGAACTGGGTTTGATACAAGTAAAATGAAGACAGGGTCTCCATCTATTTTCTGATCGGCACACTAAAAATTGCTACTAACAACTGTATAAACCAGTATTAAATTAGAGCAAATCGACTCGCAAAGGCATTCGCCACAATTGCGAGAATAGCTATTCTAATTGCCAACCAGAAGTAAAGTCGGTTGGTACCGAAAAACATTGATATTAATTAGGTAACGGCCCAATTAAGGACCGATTGAGAAGTGTTTTATCTCTGCAAGACCATCCGTGGACGCGTTTCGCTGTATCACAGCTCATCATGAGCTGTGATACAGATGACCAACCAATCCAAGAAAGTAGCTAACTGTTAACCCACAAACTTATCAAACTATATAATGAATGATTATAGTAATCTGTGGTTAAAACAGATCTGCCATATGATATTCATTCAGTTTCTACTATAATCACGATTCCCAAAGTAGTTAAATTAAAATCCTCCAGTGAATTGCATCCAATAAATTTGTTTTGCACTATTGACAAAATTTTGGAGATAGTTGATAGTGATTATGAAAAAGTGAATGTGAAACACTTTGATGATAAAGCTGTTTCCTCTGATTGTTTGTCAAGATCAGTAGTTATTAATAAACTGAACTGAACTAAACTGAAAAAGTGTCAAAAATTAATGTAACACTTTGGTAATTAGCCTATCCAAAACACATGACTTTGACAAGCAAACAAAGGGCTTGTGTGCCTCTTGGCGGACATTTTAATTTGAGTTCGACAGCATCTTGGATAGTCTAATAAAACCTTTCCCTTCAAAGTGGCAGTTTGTCAAGATCGGTGGTTTGGTTAATAAATCTGATATAGCTAAATCAGATGAATAACAATCCAGGTAAGTAGGTAAATGTTGACCCTAATCAACTCATTAAACTAAATAATGAGTATAGTAAATCTGTGATTAAAACAGATTTGCCAAATGATATTGATGCACTCATTATTGGTAAATAAAACGTGGTCGTTAGTATCAAGACCCGAATATAAAAATATAGTGGATTGTAAATGGATATTTTCCATTGAAAATGATGAAATTGGAAAACCATTTAGATACAAAGCTTACTAAGCTGCTCGTGGTTTTAGTCAACATTACTTGGTAGATTATAATGAAACCTTTGCACAGGTGGCGAGAATCGTAGGTTTATAATAACCTTTTTAATCAGTTTACCCTTTTAATACATCATATAGATGTAAAAACAGCTTCCCCGGATGGGACATTGAAGGAAGTCATTTTTATGAAGGTTCCTGAAGGCTGAAGGGTGGCTGGCTCAAGGTGTGACAAGTAAACCTAACCAAGTTTGCAAGGCTTTGTATCTATGGACTAAAACAAACCACTAGATGTTGGTTTGAAATAATAGTAAAAGTTCATAAAGAAAATGGGTTTGAAAATTCATCAGTTAACCACTGTATTTATATCTTAGACAAAGGTGCAATATGTAAAATTATTTATGTAGTTCTGTAGATGGTATTTGCAACTGCAGATAATAATACATTGAATACTTTCAAAAGGTATTTGGCAAATAACTCTTCTATGTTTTATTTTAAAGACAGTAAACTATTTTTGGGTAATATAATTAAAAGGTAATCAAAATAAAATTACTCTTGATCAATTTTCATATAGGTACAGTTCATATGAACATGAAAATTATTTTACATAAATTTAATATGAATGACTGTTGTGCCATCAGCTGTGTCAGCACTCCACTTCCTAATAAACTGAATTTGATTGGTTTAAATTCAGAAGAAAAACATGATAACCCCTTGCCGGAATCTAATCGTCTGTTTAATGAATGTATATTATGTTATGTATATCAAGCCTGATTTAAGTACCACTGTTAATATTTTGAGCAGGTATTAAAATAAGAATAATAAAGAGTTTTGGCAATATTTGAAAAGGGTCCTCAGATATCTTAAGGGTAAAATCAATGTGAAGTTGACACAATATTTTAGTTGTGAATATATTAATTTCTTGAGTGATTCTATTAATCCTGACTAAGAAGGTGCAGATGCATGATATAAACAATATAAAAAGCACAACAGGATATTTATTTAAACTGTTTGAAATTTGTGTGATATGTTGGAATACAAAAAGGCAGTTGTCAGTAGCGACATCATCTACTGAAGCCGAATATATGGTTTTCTTTTTAAAGCTGTCACAGAAGCTCTTTGGTTAAAATCATTAGCAGAAAATATGCACAAAAATTAATATCAGAGTCAATTATGACCTAGGAGGACAACAATGGACCTCAATAAGTATTACAAATAATCCAACAAATCACAAAAGATCAAATCATATTTAATTGATCGTAATTAATATAAAATATTAATTTTTCCACAGATAAACCACTAGCAAACATGTTTACCAAACCATTGATGCAAGTGAAATTTGTAATATTAGAATGGAATTAGGCTTAGTAAATAAGTTAAATGGTTTGATTAGGTTTTTCTGGGTTTTCCCTAATCCCGAGCAGCAAATGCTGGACCGTTATTGTAATTTTCCCCAGAAAAGACACACATAAGGAAAGCGGGCCTATTTATGTTATACTAGGTTTAAGTTGTATTACACTTTTAATATAATTGATCAAATTTTTGAGGTGGCGTGTTGGATAAACTGATATTCATATCAGTGAAACAAAAATTAATAAATTAAACTTTGATTATTAGCCTATACTTTGCTAATTTATATCGCAGCTATGGATGACTGAATGTGTTTATAATAGTTTTTATATGTAAGGTAAACAGATGAGGAATCGTTTACTTAAGAAAGGGTTAGTCTTGATGTTGAGTCAGTTCGTATAGTTATTTCTATGAGTTCACACGCTCTGCTTTCCACGCTGTGTTCGATATAATAAATATATTGAATATCGATAATTAACAAGTTCTTTTATTTCTTAGTCCATTTCCCAATAAGGCACATATGTACTAGTAACATAGAGTGGTGAATACAAATTTGTTCTAGGAACAGGTCAGTAAAACAAGGAGCGGCTCATTCGAGTGCAGAGATGGCACACGAAATTCAATACCTGACTAGAACTCTGAATACTCAATCTTATTGTTGATTATTTTGAAAAGAAATAGAACAGCAGAATACTCTCTCCGTTTTGAAACAGCAACTATGTTGTACCGACTTTACAGGTCATATTCGAAAAACCTATGTTACATCAGATTTGAACCAAGTGTATATTTAACAGAACGCCTTTGAATCTTTTCAATGCTATCATAATGAACATCAAGACCTGGGTACCAAATAACTCCAATTTAGAATTAAATACTTGACGAGGGCTCTGGGAGAGAGCATACTCTGCTTTGAAAGAGCATCCATGTTGTACCGACTTAACTGGTCATCACTCGAGAAACCTCTAGGTTAATATATATGTAACATCCGATTTGAACCAAGGGTATATTTAATAGAACGTCTTTGAACCATTCCAATGCTAGCAGAATGAACATCAAGCATCAAGACCTGAGTACCAAATAACTCCAATTTAGAATTAAATAACAGAGTTATTGTATTAATGTTAATAACATCCTTTGAGTTTCGCAAATTCCAAATTTTTGTGAGAACCTGGACTATGTCATTAGTGTGAATAAAAAAAAGTCACACCAATATCCTTGAACAAAGAGCAGTTTTGAAGATTTATCCCAACTATGGTTTACGTGAAATTAACTGCTGCAATTTTACGTGTTATAGACGTTATTGTGAAAAAAATATGTAGGTATGTAATTCGAGGGCAAACTATCACTTCGCTTCGGTCGAATTTCAAAATTTTATCTCTGAGCGACAAAATAGCACTTTACCCACTCAACATACAAATTAATAGTTATTAACAGCCATTAGGATCATGCGATACAATGTTTTCCTAATGAAGAAAATTTGGACCTATTTTTTTCTTCATCTATTTATTTTGTTTCAGAATCTTGGGCCGGCTATTACGAAAAAAAGCTTCTGCATAAACTACTTGATACTTACAATGTGCTAGAACGCCCAGTCGCTAACGAGTCAGATCCGCTCCAGTTAAGTTTCGGAATAACGCTGATGCAGATAATAGATGTGGTAAGTTTTCACTTTTTCTTTCTTTTATGCCACCATAGGGAGAGACACGGAGCCGCCGCGACCATTTATACTCGGAGCGGTTCGTATTAAAACAGCCAAATAATAAAGTTCCTTTCTTCCGACCTAACTACTAATTATGATAAAACATTAAAGTTTCGAAAATTATTAGTTTCCATTAAAACGCGCGGTTGGTCGGTGTTAAAAGTTTTCCCATGGAAATTTTGGTTAACAACTTCACCTTCATCCTTTCGTATTATAGCAATGAGGCAGTTCCCCATTTTCCTGAATCTAGTTCTTCTTTTTGAGATATGGACGAGTTTTTGCACATTTCTTTTCACAGAAAAATCTGTTCTTGCTACCAATATTGTTTTTGATCATAAAATATTTTCGTTCCGTCAATAAGGTGATACTGTTAATAGAATATCTTATATACTCTCGATTGTGGTAGAATGTGGAGTGATATTATTATTTTTAATAAGAAATGTACAGGGTCCGCCAACGAGGACTTAGTAGGTTTCGAAGATACTCAACCTTCATGAGAAATTCCTCAGAATTTTTATTGTTTTAAATAATCATAATTTTCAAAATTCTCTCCGGAATAATCCAACTCATAATCGATGTTTGTTTCCTCAATCGTATATCTAGAGAGGTCAGCATTTGAATCAGGTTCAAAATAACTGTGATGTGTTGTATAGTCTGGCAAGTGGTAACTTGGTAGAGACGAAAGGGGGAAGAAAAGTGGGGCGTGACCTAAAAATATCCACTGACACCTCAACTGACACCGCCTGATGACAGCCATGTCTTTGAGTTCAGTGGCACCGAAAACACTAAGGAAATTAACCAATAAAATTATTAGAAAAAAAAACTCTAGTTTCGCTGATAACCACGCCGCTGCGTGGTGTCGTTCAGACTCTAACCAATAGAATCATGCCTCTGAATAATCACGCCTCTCCACATCCATCGTTTCGCAATGTTGCCGGATTTTTTTCTATTTCAAAATATTATACCTGCCCATATAGCAAAAAAAAATATGTCACCAACTTGTTTATTATTGTTTCCGTCAAGTTTGGCAAAGCAGCAAATTCTTTTGGAGTTCGCCGTTTCGCTAGCCAGACAATAGGTAAGGACATGGGTGTGGGTTTTTGGAGTTGTTGGCATGTATTTGTTTTGCGAACGGATTAATAATTTTTCTAAAGATTCCTGAACTTGGGACCAATGGGAATATAGATTGATAAATTTCTTAATTTGAGTTTGTAGGTACGATAAACCCCAGGTATCATTGTTCAGTTTTTTGCATAGATTTGTCCATTATATATCCTTCTGTTTCCTAATTGCGCCGTTAAGTGCCTTTTTCAGTTTTTTATATTCGTGTTCTGCAGCAAGTTTTACTTGCTCCGTAGCTTGTCGCTTCCTTGTTCTCTGAGAGTTTTTTCTGGCTTCTATGCATTCGCTCCTTTCGTCTGTGATCTCGAGTGTCCACCAATACACGGCTTTGTGTTGAATTCCGGGATTAGCTCTTCTGGGGAGTACTTTGCCGAGGAGTCGTGCAATATATTTCATAATTTTTATTGATCCGCCTTCACCTTCCAGGTTGGTGTCATTGAAAATATTGTTGATTTCACTTTTTAAGCTTTCGAGTCCACTGGTCGTTAGCTTCCAGCCTCCCTTCCTCTTGTGTTCAGTTACTGACATCCTTTTTTCCTTCTGTAAGTCGAAGAAAATAGTCCTGTGATCAGTAAAATTTTTGTTGTCTACGTCCACTCTCCATTCTTGGAATGGGTCTTTCCCACGATTTTTTTTTACTTGCAGAAATATTTTTTTCCGATTTTTTTTGGACGGCGACGTCACGCGCCTAGACTTTCTATTGGCTGCTTTCTTCTAGTGTTGCAATGCAGTTGTTGATTTCACCAAATTTCTTTACGCGTTGTGTTTTCAAAGTAACATGTCGATAAGGATTCGGTAACCCATCGATCATCTCATCTCTATGAATTTAACCTCATTTTAGAAATGTAAACAAAGTGTAATTTTATTTTATTTATTTAAAAATATAAAGCTGGGATTCAATTATCTATTTCCATTTTCAATGGTGCGTCTCCTAATTTGGTACCGAACACAAAATGTACCCTGAAAGTTTAACCGTGGTCGGTGGACTAATTACTAATTGGGTACTTCACATTAGAATTTCCAATCTGAATCTTTCAAAAGAAACATGTAACTATATAAACAAAAAAATAACAACATACCATTTAATTTTGTTCAAAAGTTTATTAAAATTGATAAAGGTTTCAGGTTTATACAATATATGTATGTAGGTATACATTACAAATGCAATATATGTATAGCTAGGTATCAATTTATTTATAATAACTAGCTGACCCGGCGAACTTCGTACCGCCTCTAAATTATTAAATATTTTAAATAAATGTTGTGTATTTAGTAGCTAAATTAAATTCAGTTTTTTCCGATGGTGAATTTGGCCTTAGTTGAAGAAAATTAATGTTTACTCTCTGGATCTCAATTCATCTAAAATTAAAATTTTACATTATCCCTTTTTAGGTACCTTGTGGGCATTATTCTTGTAAACTGTACTACCAAAAAAATAAACTCAGGCACAGGAATGTTCAAAGAATGTAAAGAAAACAAAAAAATCATCTGAATCGTCAATAACCACTGATTCAAAAATTCATATTAATTCACACAATTAACACAGGATCAAATGTAAACAAAATTATGTCGGCCTGCACTGCCATATTGAGTCACGTGATTTGGATTGCCTAATAAAATAACATAAACAAAACCTATCACAATATTCACAAATTTGTACCCACCCTTTTCGAGATCGAAAACTAAATGAAGGTCTCTATCATGTATCATAGATGGCGTCATATACGGAATGGTATTAGAGTGCAAATGGTATTACAACAGTGACTAAATAAGCCTTATCTAGTGACGACAATAGAGCTCTCGCCGTCATTTTGTGCCCTTCATGTTGCTACTTTTAAATATGAATATATAGGATTTAAAAAGACATCTATTATAAATAAAAGAAAAACAACGTATTTGATGTACCTCATAATAGTCATCAAATACGTTGTTTTCAATTTTTTATGATGGATGTCCATTCAAATCTTATATATTCATATTTAAAAGGAGCAAGAGGTAGGGCACAAAATGGCGGCGTTTTCCATATGAATATATAGGACTTCAAAGAACCAATCAAAAATAAGACAGCAATTGTCTCCACTGTGAATGGTATGTAATGAAAGAAAAGGACCGCGCAATCTGACAATAGAAGATATATATAATATATTTAATAATAGCGCTTTCGACTTTTGTCTCGAAACTTCTCCCGATTGATCAAAAAGCGATCCGAAACGGATTCACATGTTCGACTTGAGCAATAAACGCTCTCAACTCTCACACGGAGCGCTATTCCTTGCTCCGTCAAATTCGATAGATCAATGATTGATCAAAACAAAACAATCAAATTACGTTCGGCTATTGATTTCAAATAGGGTGCCCGCGCTTGGATCATAATCGCTCTCGGAGTACTTCCGCAGAGATCTGTGACGTCACCGCCCAAATAGAGACCGCTCTGGGAGCAGTGAAGCCGAAAATGCTATAAGATAATACTGTTACGTCGGTTGAATGACATTGAATGCGCAAACAAAAATAAGTTGGGTTATCTAGTGGTGAGAGGCAAAAAAAAATTAAAAATTTTAAGGGGGGACCAGCCTTATCACTAAGGGGTATAAAAAATAGCTTAAAATCTATTCTCAGACCTACCGAATATACATATAAAATTTCATAAAAATCGGTGAAGCCGTTTCGGAGGACGAAGGTCACTAAAACTGTGACATGTGAATTTTATATATTAGATGTACAAAAATCCCCTTTATCCTACGTATTTGAATGATAATATGATACAATTAACTTTCAATTTATTTATTTACATAAACTCCAATTTAACAGTTTTTACAAGAATAATAAAATATGTATAACAATGTGATATAGGTTTTTTATGTTATATTTAGGATGACGTCATCGAACAAAGATAGACAATGTTGTCAATGCCTATTTTTTTTCCTATAATTTACCAAAATGACATGTGTCAATAATTCTGACGACAGCTAAAAATAACGAAATGAAAATGTTTATACAAGTCATGCAACATCGCGCGCCGTTGCCAACCAGAAACATCTGAAATTCCCTTACTTTAAATGCGATAAAAAGTATTTTTAGTTTTTTTAGGTTGGCAGCAGAAATTTACTAAATTTGACGTCATCCTAAATAAAGCATAAAATTCCTATAGTAGGTAATAAATTATCACATAAAATATCTCTATTCTACTTACATAATTCTAGAAATGTGTTTTTTAAACTGACATAATTTAAATGAATCTAGATCATATTCATTGTATGTCAGTACAACTCACACATACATATGGGTGAGGAGATTTTCGTTTTTGGTTTAAAAACCACTTCTGGAAATTATTAGAAATTAAAAATTATAATACAAATACTAACAATCTCGAAAAAATACATGCTAAAATTTAATTATTAAATTTATTAAAACTTAACTATTATATTAAGATGTGCTTGTTACAAGAATTATTAAGTATATTTTTTATTTTGTCAGATTTTGAATTTATTTATTTAATTAGTACATATTGATTTTACCAGAACCCAAACTAACCCGAACGACTCACAGTGAGGTGGGGTTACGCAAACCCCAATTTGGACAAAAATCGTAATATCGCACACCAAGTAAAATATCGCGGGTTGTTGACACCGTTAGGGTACTGACGGACAACGGACCGAAAGCTACACAGGAGGTAGCGGGCCTCCAACCATTAGTTAAAACGCGGTAAAGATTCTTAACACATTCAATGACACCCGCGGCATTTGCCGTCATAGCCACTATGTCGTCAACGGCACCAAAAATATGGGTGTGCGCTCAGAAAGACACCATGATATGCTGCATGTATTAACCTGTGTCTC